TCCCTACAGAAACTATGCTAATTTGTTAACCCAGTTTAGCTTCGGCAGTCGATATAGCGTTCGTCATGGTCTCAACAACAGTTAGAAACCTATACCCGCGATATCGAACAAGCTCAGAGATCTATAGGAAGACGGCATCTTCGGATCTCTCTTACTGTTATACAAAAAACCAAGCGTTTCGACCGTAGATTCATCTTGTACATTTCCAGGAGAATATCTGGTGTGAGGCGTGCCACCTCTCGGGAAATTTCACCTGAAAATCAGTTCGTCTTGGGGCCTTTTCAGGTTTCAACGAAGAGGTGGCTTTTGCGAGCTCCTATTTGATGAACTGCAGAAAGGTTTGTTCACAGTAGTCTCTGTCTTTCTTCGTCACCGGATAGTTTGGGAAGGAAAAGGCCATTAACTATCCTCGTCATCCTTGTCTTATCTTTCAATTCTGATAGACCAAAGTCTCCCAACCACTAGGCCATTAATTTCTAATCTAGACTCCGAGAGTTCCGGATTCACCTCCACGTCTAATTTCTTCCAGTACCATTTCTTACTGTCCCTTATGTCATTTGTCAACGTTCTCCGTGCCTTTTAATAAACCGTGGAGTGAGCCTCTGCATCATTATTTCCTCATTTTTGTGTACGTCGTATCTTTCGTCGGTATGTAATGCATTGTTTTTGTAGCTGACTGATATAATCTATCCACCAGTAAGTCGCTCGCTTATCTAGTGCGCGTCTGCTTTGAGGCATTGAGGTCTCGCACAGACGCCAGAACAATAGCATTATTTTGTCCACTAATCGTTCTGTTTTCCGTTCGTCTGTAAAATATAGTAAGACAACTTCGAAGGAAGCTGGGGATTCCAGCAATATTTCTGAAAATCTGTGGTTGTCTCACTGGCCTTATTCATTTTGTAGTCATATGATCCGTCACCTCAAATACGATATGTTGATGATCACTGACTGCGTAGTTCTCAACCATCTGCTATTCTCTTATCCGCGTTCGAAATCTATCCGTTACCATAGTCACATCTGGTATTGAGTAACCAAAATCGGATCTTCAGTATGTCGGCATCCATTCAAATTCGTTACCGCTACTTCCAGCCTCGCGGCTATCTACCGCAGCAGCGTTTCTCTTTTTTATCTGTCGATGTCATTTTTCATTTAATCGCTTTGAAGTTAAAGTCATCCGCTACCACAAAATCCGCCGGTAGGTTCTTTAGAACGTCTTCAAGTCCTTTACTTTGAGCTCAATATGCTTGGCCATACAGTTTGGGGTCATATAGATGCTGATGAACAATGCCTACTCTTACCCCGACAAAATTATTCCCAGCCCCTGATTCGAGAACTTGCCTCCCACTATCACCCCTAACCTAGATAGCCAGTGAGTCTGAGATATTTTAAAACCATGCTTTTGTTGTCAACTTCCTGTATTGTTCTCTGAGTATTAGTACGTCTGCGTTATGTTCCGTCGTGATTTGGGGTAATAGCAATGGCGCTGTCTCGTATTTATATAGATTCCCTTGTAAAATCTCCGTCATTATGTCTGTAGAACCGGGTAAGTGTTTGATACCCTACGGAACACAAGAAACATGTCACGTTCGTAGTTCTACAGTTTTTATCGATATGGCCGACAGCATCTCCAACACGCATTACTTAGGTCTATTCCGTTATATTTCGCTTTTGCGTGTATTCAAGGCATTTAAAGCACCTTGGCATAGTCAGACTTTGTCGAACGTGGCAGTTAACCTATCCGGCTTTAATATTTCCCTTTTGGAGTAGTGTTTACACGAAATTATTCTTCAGTTCACACACTGTTTTATACTGTTCTTGTCTGTCAGGTACCCAAACGTGTATCTTGTGATCAGTTTTATCTTCCATCTCTCATAGAAATGCGTTTTCAATTCTTCTCGGAAGTATTGTTTGTTCCTTGCGTTATTACGTATTCGCATTTGTAAGCATCCATACATACTTTGCTTTCGGAAGTCCTATACCTCCAATTTATAGGCATCAGAGCTAATCTTTGTCTTTATCACTCGTAGTGGGTTCGCGTATGTTTTACCATCCTTTGATGTAATGAGGTCTGCTCCCTTCCATCCCCATCATTCCTGCGCGTCTTTTTCTGTCTACTTGGGATACCATTTAGGATATCACTTGGATCTCAAAAGTATCCGACTTACCTCGATTTATCGGCGCTTGATTTTATCTTCGTCATCCAGGGGTGGTATCTTTCAAAGTAGTTCCCATTTGATTGAATCAGACGCTCATATCGATGTTTCCACTTATTAATGTACTCTTGAAAGTCAGATTTCGGAATAGCCTTAGTGCAATCGTTGCATTAATTGCAACAGTCTCTTTATCATCGAATCGATGTCCCTTGAGCGGTATTTTTAATCGAGGGAACAGCCAAAAGTCGCAGGGAGCTATATTAGGTCTATATGGAGGATAACGGAGCTGCGCAACACTGTATTAAAAATAAGCCAACTTGTTTATTGATTACATTTAATTTGCACTTTTTAACTGCATTTGAAAGGGCAGGTCAGAAATTTCATTTTATTAGAAGTCGGTTTTAAATATTTTTTATTTTGCTCTATATGTCTTATTTATTGACTTTATGATGATTTGCATAAAAAATTTATAAAAAAGTGTCTCGAAAACCCATCAAATTAAAATATGAACCGATGTAGTATGTTTATGTTCTATGAGACTTAAAATATATATTGAATGTGAAAACTACTTCAGAACCTTAAAGTTTCTAACCTTAAAAAGCAAAAAATCACTATCTTGGTCCAAAAAAGAAGATATGAAAAGGAAAATATCGTTATATATCAAGAAATATCGTATTCCGTCAAATCCCGGATCACCTAATCTAAACTAACAAGATTCGGGGTTCAAAAAACTTAATGTAGGGGCTTGACCTTATAGACTTACAGATTACAGGATTCGTGAATTAAGAAAATTGGGATTTAGGGATTTAAGATTATAGACTAGCAGGTTACGGAGTTCGGGGGTTAAGAACATTAGGAGTCTGACGTTATACACTTAAAGAATATGTGGTCCGAGATTTGAGGAAATACAATAAACCTTCATATTTATTTTTCTCTTCATATTTTCTTGTCAGGACCACGAGTAGTATTTTTTTTGCTTTGTGAAAATAGAAACTTTGAAGTGCTAAAGTAATTTTAACGTTCAATATGAATTCTATGTTTCATAGAACATAAGTATACGAGGGTTGCTACTTATATTTTGAGCCTAATAATGAAAAGACAGTAATTTATTATCTAAAATGGCTTTATTGTTTTTCGAAGTATTCTCCATGATGATAACTGCACTTTTGCATGCGCTCGAACCAATTTTCGTAACACTTTTTCCACTCTGATTGAGGTACCTCCAAAACATGGTTTTTGAATGCATCAACGGCTTCTTCAGGCGCCGAAAAACGTTGTCCACGCAATTTATTCTTGATATGCGGGAATAAAAAGAAATCATTTGGTGCTAAATCAGGGCTGTATGGAGGATGACCCATCAATTCAACGTTTTGGCCAGTCAAATAGGAGGTTGTTTTAGCTGATGTGTGAGAGCTTGCATTGTCATGATGAAGAATTTTGTCGCTTCTTTTTTCGTATTTCACCAAGCACTTCTGGCAAACAAATAGTTGTGTACCATTCAGAATTCATTGTTCTACGATGCTCTAACGGTACAGTGGCCACATGTCCAGTTATTCCAAAGAAACAGGCGATCATTTGCTTCGAAGTGCTTCGCGCACGAATCACTTTTGTTGGATTCGGCTCGTCTTGGAAGACCCATACAGTGGATTGCTGTTTTATTTCGGGCATATGCATAGATCCAAGATTCGTCACCTGTGTAGATGTTATACACAGCATTTGATGCACCGCGATTGTATTTTTTGAGCATTTCTTTGCACCAATTGATGCGAGCATCTTTTTGAGCTTTTGTCAAATTATGGGGGATCCAACGCGAACAAATCTTTTTTACAGCTAAATGTTCATGCAATATCTTATTGATGTTCGTCATACTAATGCCCAAGGATGCCTCAATCTCACGATATGTTACATGCCGATCTTGCTTTATTAGTTCGTGCACAGCATCAATGTTTTCTGGCACAACAACTGATTTTGGACGACCTTCACGACTTTCATCCCCAAGCGAACTGCGGCCACGATTAAATTCGTTATACCAGCGTTTCACAGTGGCAAGGGATGGGGCTTCATCGCCAAAAGTCTAAGTAAGTTGATCGATGCACTCCTGTCTTGATAGCCCACGTCGAAAGTCGTAGAAAATCATCGCACGAAAATGCTCACGAGTTAATTCCATTTTTTGCCCGAGATGAATTTTTCAAGTTACTGTGAACAACACAAATGGCACTCAAATGAAAAAATGTTCTGAAGAAGGTTATGGTTAAAAATATCAAACTTTTCAATGGAAACGTCAGATGGCGCCTCTAAACACTTAGTATTGCCAAGGCTCAAAATATAAGTAGCAACCCTCGTACTATATCGGTTCATATCTTAATTTGCCGGGTTTTTGAGATAATACTTAAATTTCAATCTTCTATATCTCAGTGAAACAAAATATGTAAAAGATTTGAAGGCAGGATTTTGTAAAATGACAGTTCTGCTTTAAAACGGTGCTATACTTTTAAAAAAATTATTAGTGCTAGTAGATAACCACGAATATAGCTAAAAATTATGTTTTTTGTACTTATAAGCTATGATATCTCGAAAACCTGACGTGTTGGGTTAATTCTGATATCGTACTTCGATTCAGCGCATCAAAATTCTTCGGGTACGTATAGTCTCGTTTCTAGATCAAAAATTGTTGCCCTGTGTAATTAATGCATGAGTATTATACAACTAAGCGAGCAAGTTATTTTTATGCTGATTATATATTAACAAGCTATGGCATGATATAAACTTATCGTTTTACAGTTGATATCTAACATACTTATAAATTTCTTTTAATTGAATATTTAATGAATAAATATAAATACTCACTGAGTTCGTTTCAATTCAATGATGCTATTGTCTAACAAGTTTTCACATTCAAGTGTCATTTCCATTGTTTTCAAACAAATACTCTTATTATTTTCACCTTTGACTAGCAGTGAAACAATGTTTGATTTTCCCGATTGATTATATGTATCTGTTATTTCCTCATGAACTTCGGAATTTATATTTGCGTTTATTTTCCAACTCTGATCGGATAACTGTTGTCTTAGCTGTTCAATTTCAATTTGAAATTGACGCAACAAAGCATTTTTAGGGTCCTCATTAATGTAAGCTCTATTTTTTATACTTTTTGCTCTATTAGCATAACGTAACGTGCTTATAGTTTCATCGTAGCTGATATCAGCTGGACTAATATTAGCGCACTGAAATCAATAAATAATTCATACAGTTATATTATATATCCTATACAATTATATTATATATGTCAAGTATTTTCAAGTAAAACTACTTTCTCTTATCATTTTTTAGAAAATTGTGACTAGGTTACAGCGAGTTCGCTGGCCCTATGCTCGACACTCTTCTCGCGCGAACGCAGCGACCGAGTAGAGCTCTGTCGGCAGAGTATATATGTTTATGTTGTTGCAGGGCCGGAAGAGGAAAAGTTGGAGCCGGCGAGGCAGCATCGCAAAAGAAGAAAACGAAAGCGAGAAGGGCGAGAGAGAGGGAGAGTTTCAATGGAGAATTATAGCTCAAAGTAAATGGAAGAGAGCGTAGCATGTGGTAACAAATAGAGTCCACGGCGAGAAAAAAATGAACAGCAGTTAGACAAAAGCTAGGATAGAGTAGGCCACTTAATTTTCTTGAGCAACAAAAGAAAGAAAATCTGTGATTTCGAGTCGAACATGTTGAATTTGGATTTCGTTTAGACATTCGCACGAGGGTTGAGTACTACCATCTACAGCAGCCACCATTCCGCGGCCTCGGTCGAGTATCGATCGCCTCAACACCAGGAGTTATTCAGCCGAGGCTACTTTGCCAACTGGCCTTTTTTTCGTCGCCGTCGCTCCTCCTGCGAGCTGCAGTAATCCAGTGGGCCACTCTCTAGATCTTTGATTCACTTTCTCTTCCGCCAACTCTCGCTCGTTAACGGCCGGTTGTTTTTTCGATTTTCGCGGTTCGATGTTGAGCGAATTCGCTCAGACCTCGCGTATCGAATTTTTGCTGTTGCATCTTGGGTTGAGTGAATTCATTAACCCACGCTTTTGTCAATGAGATTGATAAGTTTGTTATTTGGTATATAACACAGGTCAACATGATTTTTATCGCACGAACATGAGCAACATATTCCGATATCATCGAATGAAGTACACCACTTAAGTAATTTCATAACAACAGTACCAACAATACAAATATCACAGCCCCACGAAAAAAGTCATATATGCAAAAAGGTAATACCATAAAATTAATGTTTTTGGGGTTGCTGAATTCGAATCCACGATTCATTTACCAGATTTGCTCAGGGGTCAAAGTTAGATCAAGGTCAAATCAAGATTATCCTATTAATCTTGGTCCAGGTACTGTTTCTATAGGTTTTTAAGGTCGCTGAATTCGAATCTGGGGTGCGTTTAATCTGGTCGGCTCAGAATCAAGGATAGGTCAAGGTAAAATCCAAAAAATGCATTGAATGAATCCGAATTTAAGGTAAATCTGACCAATAACCACTTAATATTTCTATGGTGATGTTAGCAACACCCTAATAACTTCCTAATAACCCTCTTAATATGAACTATGCTATGAATCCTCTAATAATATAATGACGATGCTATAAACCCCCCAAGAACGTAAGGACAGTGCTATCAATTCCCAAATAAACCCCTAATAACCCCCCCCTAATATATACTATGCTATGAACCCCCTAAAAACCCAATAGCAATGCTATGACCCACTATAACCTAATGACAATCCTATCAACCCAGTAATAACTTGCCCCCCTAATAATCACCTAATATGAACTATGCTAGTAACCCCCTGATGAAGCAATGGCAGTATTATCACCCCCCTAGTAACCCCCTAATAACCCCCCTAATTTGAACGGTTCTATGAACCCCTTAATAGCGCAATGGCAATGCTAAAACGACCCTAATGACTCAATGGCAATGCTATCAACCACATTATGTCAAATGCTTCAATGTTATCAATTTTCTGATTTGTGGAATCGTTTCCTTTTTTTTGTCTAGGCTTCTGGTTCCTGACATTTTCTTATGCTGAAGTCCATCATCTTCACGTTTAAGAGCCCAGAAGTAGTAAGCTAACATATTAACATTCCATCTACCTTGATACTTTCTTTCCATTTCTTGCATGTCTTGGTGGAATCTTTCTCCTTCCTCCTCACTTACTAGGGAACCACCCCAACCCTCCGCCTCCGATTTTTCTGCAATTAAGATATGTTATAGTTCGTAAAAAAATAAAAGACCCGAATTTTATTTTATCGGCGGAAAAAGCTATCTAATTGATGAAACTCACCCCCAAAAAACAGCCCCAAAAGCAGTTCTATAGCAATATCTTTAGTTGTAATGAAACAAAAAACAAAAGATTCTTATAAAAAAAGTAAAAGACACGCATCAATTTGGACCCCGGGGGTTGCAACCCCTACGTTGTATAGAGGAAAAACTGTATTTTTAAGTGTATTTTTACCTAAAAATAAAAAAATTATGTTAAAAAAATTTTAAAAATGATATTCTAATAGAAAATGATAAAACAAAATTGACGTATTTCGGCGTTTTCCTATTATCTATTATTTCGAGGGTGAACTACCCCTTAATGTTATTAATATAATATAAGCAGTTGTTAATCGAAGATTATGCTGGTTATTTCAAGTTCTATGACGCTCAAAAAAGCCAAACACATGTATACTTTTGTTCTGCCGAAAAAACTATTTAGAGAGTGAAAGCTACCCCCGAAAGTTACCCCTCAACACCATTTTATAGCGAAATTTTCGTATTTTATGCACAGTTTTCGACGAACTAAAATATAAAAAATTCTTTTAAAAAATTTCAGCTAAATATATAGATTTCGTCTACACGGGTTGCAAACCCCTAAGTCGTCTGAAAGAAAAGCTATGTTTTCAAATATTTTCTTGCAAAATTTTTTCAGAAGAAGTTTATGAAATCCCGTTTAAAATCTAACGCAAAAGTATACAGTATCCGTCACCAGGGGCTGCTACCCCTTCATTAGAGAGTGAATAGAACATTCATTTGTTACCCTGATCCCCTAACACCCCGAACCCAATTTCCGTAACCCTCGAGCTCGTTACCCTGCCACGCTGTAACCCGTAACTCCTACACCTAAATTTCATCAACCCTCGAGCTGGTCACCCTACCGCGCTATAACCCCGAACTCCTACACCCCAATTTCATCAACTCTCAAGCTGGTCACCCTGCCACGCTATAACCCCGAACTCCTACACCCCAATTTCATCAACTCTCAAGCTGGTTACCCTGCCACGCTATAACCCCGAACTCCTACACCCCAATTTCATCAACTCTCAAGCTGGTTACCCTGCCACGCTGTAACCCCAAACTCATAACCCTAATTTCCTTAACCCTCGAGCTGGTTATCCTGCCATGCTCTAACCTCGAACTCGTACACCTGAATTTCATCAATCCTCGAGCTCGTTACCCTGCCACGCTGTAACCCGTAACTCCTACACCCCAATTTCATCACCCCTCAAGCTGGTCACCCTGCCACGCTATAACCCCGAACTCCTACACCCCAATTTCATCAACTCTCAAGCTGGTTACCCTGCCACGCTATAACCCCGAACTCCTACACCCCAATTTCATCAACTCTCAAGCTGGTTACCCTGCCACGCTGTAACCCCAAACTCATAACCCTAATTTCCTTAACCCTCGAGCTGGTTATCCTGCCATGCTCTAACCTCGAACTCGTACACCTGAATTTCATCAATCCTCGAGCTCGTTACCCTGCCACGCTGTAACCCGTAACTCCTACACCCCAATTTCATCACCCCTCAAGCTGGTTACCCTGCCACGCTGTAACCCCAAACTCTTAACTCCAATTTCCTTAACTCTCGAGCTGGTTACCCTGCCACGCTCTAACCCCGAACTTTTACACCCGAATTTCATGAACCCTCGAGCTGGTTCCCCTGCCCTTTCCAATTTTCTAGTCTGAAATCCGGTTCTCTGTTATTCATAATCCCAATTTCGACATATTTGTAATATCTCTGAAGAAAAGTCTATAGTCGAAATAATTGTAGAAGATAACATTAAATTTATTTTATTTTTATGTTATATTTATGTTACTATATAGTAATTTGTCATTTCATCTGATATTGAGATTACATTTTTTGAATAGAAAAGACGATCCGCGCTCATTATCACTGTACATATTCTGAACAATAATGATACTCTATAAATAAATGCTGGAGACATATTAGTTTCTTGCACCATGCACATTTTATAATTGCTATTTTCTCACAAATTTCGCAGATACGCTGTTCTGAAATTTCGAAGCAATATTCAACAGGATTGTCGAACGAATCAGGTTTTTTATCCAAGTACCCACTTTTGTACCAAGCATATTTAAATACGCTTTTGAATTTAGGTGAAGATAATTGATAATGTGTGATAGACTGTAATTTTATAATATTATTTCTCTCATGTAAACTGATGTCTGATCCGAATAAAATAATGGCATCAGGTACTTTTCTTACAAAGTTTTTCTAAAATCGAAAACCGAATACATCCAGTGATTGAATTTTGCCTGTCGTACCCTTAGGAATTGTCATCAATCGAAAATTTGTATCTGCTCGTGTCACTTCTCTTACAGTTCATTCACACTGTCCACTCCATGAGTCTAGTAATAAAACTACTGTTTTCCCATAGTTAGGAAAAAATACCTGTTGCAACCGTGATTGCAGTAATTCACTCGACAGTTTTCCTGATGCACTTGCTCGCAAAAATATATTAGGTGCATTGAATGGTTTTTTTTGAAACAATGGGTCCAAACTCTCCGTTTGTTTCTTTTAATACCATAAAAAGGGGTGATAGCAATGTATCTTCTGCAGATATTGTCGGTTGAATCGTATAACTATACGTAGTCAATGATACTGATTGTACTACTGATTCGACTGTCTTCTTACCTTTTTCGCTCAATATTCTGCCAGTATGCATTTCTAAATTGAATCCACTTTGATCGGAATTATATATGTTAGTTGCACTTTTGGTTGATAATTCTGTTTTTATGAGATTGATAAAATTTTGACAATCTAACTTTAAACTAGCCTCATTTTCAACTGATACTTTAGTCACATATTTAATTATTTTACGCGATACAATTTTATGCTTTTTTTTGAATAGTAATATCTAATTGGGTCAAGCTTTAAACCAAGGCATAACTAACT